TTGTGTTTTTTTTGTGGGGGGGGGGGAGCAAATGCAAAAAGCTATTGGAGGGGGAGAATGAGGACTGACAGACTGCGCGCAAAGTGCAAAGTCCTATTTGGGGTGGTCAGGGACGTTTGCCAGGGCGCAGACTGTTGCTCTTTAATGGTCACATATCCAAATGATTTACAATGACAAAACACAGCGAGGGTCAGAGCCGGGGACAAAAACGTACAACCCCCCCCCCAAAAAAAAAAAAAAAAAATTGGAGACAGCAGGGCTCAAGGGCCACGGCCCCTCGCACAACTTCCTGCTTTTCGCTCCAAACAGGATGTTGGGAGAGGGCTGCAGCATTTTCGGCTCATCCGACCATTTTGCGCAAACGATACGGGCGGGATGGGGGGGAAATAAAATAGAAACTTTTCAATTTAACCCTGGAGAACCCAAGACCCTTTTTCTTCTTTGAAAGATGATGAATTATACATTAACTGACTGCTATATGTTCACTGAACACCAAAATAGATGTTTTTTTTTTTCAAATATTCAATGCTTTAATCCTAATTTAGGATTAGGGCCAAATCTGACCTTTTGGGATTTAAGGGCAGCATTTGAGTAGTAGAATTTATCGGGGCCAAATTTGACCCCGTGGGTTCTCCAGGGTTAAAAAAATGTACAGAAATTACAGAGCGTTAAAAACTCATACCTGAAAATGCATCATCAAGTTGAGGGCAAAGAGGAGAGGAAAGAAGAATCCCCCCGCCACCCCCCCCCCCAAAAAAAAAACACTCGCCTTGAGAATCGGTATTTACATTTATACACTGGGAGCAGTGGGAAAAGGGGGCGGGGCATCATTTTGTACACCGAAAGCAAAGATAGCAAAAGAGAATTTTGGTTGAGACGATTGCCAGGCTCCTGATGCGCTGGGCTCAAATGGCATTTTTTTTTTTTTTTCTTTCAGCCCGCCCCAACCTCCCACGTCATGCCGGCTAACGTCATGAAAAATCCTCCTTTTTCTTGTTGTTGTTTTGAAACTTTTCGCAGTGCCCAACGGCTTTCGAGTTCCGTCCCCAAAATATGCCCGACGCACGCACGCACGCAACAAAAAATGTGTCTCGTTGCGCTTAATGCGGTTTGTGTTTCTTCTTCTTGTGTTTTTTGTCCTTCTTCTTGCTGGAACATTTGACACAAAACCACTGCTGGTCTGCGGGAGGCGCCGCCACAATTCCCACACAAACCCTGAAAAAAAAAAACCACACACACACACACGCACGCAGGCACGCACGCACGCACACACACACACACACACACACACACATCAGAACACGTGGTCATCATCATCATCTTTCTTTTTTTTTACATTTGCTGAATTTTTTGGTCGCTTCACTCACTAGGCCATTTACTTTTTTTTTTTTTTGGTTTCGTTTTTTTTTTTTGTCACATCGGCATGGCTAAAAATATGTTGGAACACACGTTTCATCATTGCAGAACTGCGCTGCACCATACCGAGAGGCCCTTTTCAATATTCTGGCCAACAAAATCAGTTGGGCAAAGTATTAGAAAGAGAAAAGGTGGTGATGCGATCGAGGAAAAGTCAGGAGATTTTTGAAACCGGCGGCAAAGAGATGTTTGGTGCCACTTAGCGCCACCCGGGATTCCAATTTGCCGGTGACCGGTGTCATCGGGAGGTCGCGCGTGCCAATCGAAGCCGCGCGCGTACCAGTGATACCAGTCGTCGCAGTCGTCGCATCCGATCATGGGGCTGCCGTCGTCGGGCTTGTCGCATCCAGGACAGATCCAGATCTGATTTCCGCTTTCGTCTCGAATCTTTAGACGGAAGACGAAGCAAAGGTCAAGGTACGACCGGCGCCGGCGCCGCGCGTCGGGCTCCACTCACCACGTAGGTGCTGACCGTCTCGGTGACCACGCTGCGAACGGGCATCTTGAAGGAGGAGGCGGGGGGCGGCGGCGGGGCCGCCGACAGCAGCGAGGGCGACGGCGAGGGCGCGGCGGCGGGGGCCG